CACGGTTTTAAGCCAAATCCAATTACTTTTATTCGAACGAAATGAGTCCAGCTAAGTCATTAATACTAATCAATGGACAGACTCGGGACACCATAGGAATTACCCATAACTCAAACAGTTAAATTACTTTATTGCTAAAAAAAACGGCTGACAGAAAAAGAGAGAGAGAGAGAGAGAGAGAGATTAAAAATAAACACCAGAAAGGCAAAGTTGCGTTTTTCTGGATGAGTATGAGTTTGGTACCTACTGGCCCCTCCCCGGCGTTGTTAAAGGCCAACACCGATAAGTAATGTTTATTGTTACATTTCCAGCATTCGGTCTCACCTACCCTCGACACATTCATCCCGCAGTTTTTCCCAGCTGAAATTTTTTTAATGCCTTTTCCCGCTATTCCGATCCCGGACTTTTTCGCATTAGTGAGATCAACTGGATATTTTTTTACCGCCGCGATCAACCTTTTAAGCTGAGTTTTTACTCACCAGGACTGCTCTCTATTGTTACTGTACTTTTTTCCGCTCAAAATACTGTCAAGTAAATGCAATTTAAATTTTTAGCTAAACTTTGAATCTAAAAAATTAATTTTTTTAAGGCTAAGTAATTTTTATAAAAAATAATGACACTGTACTTTCTTAAATATTAACTTTTTTAAAGATATAAGCTCATCCTGATGTTACGCTTAACAAGAGCTTTCATTTGAATACCCACATGCATTTTTGATATATTTTTCATATAGACATATATATAATATATATATAAATATATAAAATATATGAAAAATTGATGTGAGTACTCAAATGAAAGGTCTCGATGAGTGTAACATCAGGATGAGCTTATATCATTAAAAATGTCAATATTTCACAAAATACAAGGTAATTTCTTAATTATGTATCATAAATACTGGCTTATTCTCTTAATAATATAAATAATTATATTGTTGATTAACTTATTGATATTTTTATGTTAAGAAAAATTTTTCTATAGAAATGTCAACGTCCAAAAGTTAAAATAATTATTCTAAAAATCAAGCAAAAAATTTCGATAATATTCCCAGGATTTATCCTAGCAAATAAATTGCCATTTAATAAATTATTTTTTCCCGAATAAATATTAAAAAAAAGGCATTCACAGACCAAAGCAATGCTGATGAATTCCAGCGAATCGTAAAATTTATTTCATCCGATCAGATAATTATTTTATTTGCTCATTTATACACCAACACATTATTTTAATATGGATAATAATAAAACAGTTTAAAAAAAGAAAAAAAAATAGCTGGTACGTTTGAGCTAATCCCCCTTTGCCCGGCCATTTAATATGCAGTATATACACACAGTGCACACTATACCCATATCGTCGGACATCGTTTACGAATTTACGCGGAAAAAATTCAACTGCTCCTCTTTTCTGTTGTCCGTTTACTTCTATAGCCGATTTTCGTTCGTTAGCTATTGACCGGGCTTTATCGTTTTTTTATTATTACTATCGCGACTATTATTATTATCATTTATTTTTCACAAGTTTTTGTTTCATCCGATCGAGCGTCACATCGGACAAAGCCCGGACGGCTCGCGAACCTCGATAAGAACGCATCCTCCCGTGCATAGGCAGTTCCGCGCTATCTAAATGATTAAAATGAAAATATTTACAAAAACAAGAAAATCCCTTTTTTTACCGACTCATAATTCAGTTTAACGTCACACGTCTATCACAGATTGATTTATTTGTTGAAAAATAAAAAATAATCTAATCCACGTGAAGATAGATCGTTAATCTATATTAATTTTGTCTATAAAAATTTTGACTTTTATTTCTAGATACATAATTAAGAAATTACCTTGTATCTTGGGAAATATTGACATTTTTTTAAGATATAAGCTCATCCTGATGTTACACTCATCGAGACCTTTCATTTGAATATCCACATCAATTTTTCATATATTTTATATATTTATATATATATTATATATATGTAAATATGAAAAATATATCAAAAATGCATGTGGCTACTCAAATGAAAGCTTTTGAAGAGTATAATATCAAGATGAGCTTATATCTTCAAAATATATATATTATATAAATGTATATATGAAAATATAGAATTTTAACATTTTTTAGAATATAAGCTCACCTTGACATTACACTCATTGAGACCTTTCATTTGAGTACCCACATCAATTTTTCATATATTTATATATATTATATATATATGTATATATGAAAAATATATCAAAATGCATGTGGGTACTCAAATGAAAGCTCTCGATGAGTATAATGTCAGGGTGAACTTATATCTTTAAATTGATGTGGGTACTCAAATGAAAGCTCTTGATAAGTATAATATCGAGATGAGCTTATTTCTTAAAAAATCTCAATATTTAAGAGAGTTCACTGCAATCTAACAAAAGTCATTATTTAATAAATCAAAATCACATAATGACTGCAAGGTTGCTAGTTTATAATACTTATAGTAATATTGAGAATTGTGTGAAATTAATCGCCGAAAATGGGTCACTCGCGAAGCTCTTGGAGCTAACCCCAATTTCCTCGTCCTACTACGCCCACAATTGACACTTTGTACGGTGCGATTGATATCCGAATTCAGGACTTACGATTATTCTTGTCTTTCTCACGCGGAATTGCTTGCTAATGTACTGTTTGTTTCCGTATTATCAAACAGCTATCTCTCACAGATTCGGCGTGGTTCACTGTCATGTAATTGTGTTTGTATGAATGTATGTGAAAGGAAGTGAACGCTTGATGATGTAAACATTTTGCGCTGAAACGAAGATGTTCGATTTAGTGATTATATATCATAGGAACGCTTGATTGTAACAGAAAGATTACATTTGTTCGTGAGAAGTTGGGCGATAAAGATTGAAAAATGGTTGTTGTAGTAAGTTAGCTCAAAGTGACGGATTGACAAATTGCCGTCTATTAATGCCACACAAAATCTCATTATTTCGGTCGATTTCTATGACACCCTACGTAATAATAAACTACCTCTCTACAAGCTTAATGAGTTCTTGTTTTAACTTTGTTGTTTACTCTTAATTTATATGTTCATAGTATTATTAATTAATTTTGTAATTACTATTCAAACATTCATTTATTTTAATTTAATTATAATAATAACTAGCAACCTTGCAGTCACTATACTGCTGTAGTGAAATGTAAATAAGTAAAATTTTGGTTTATTAAATAATGAATTTGGTTAAATTGCACTGTACTTTCTTAAATATTGACGTTTTTAATGATATAAGCTCATCTCGATGTTACACTCATCAAGAGCTTTCATTTAAATACCCACATGCATTTTTTATTATTTTTTATATATTCATATATA